GCTCCTTCCAGGGCACACCGCTCTGGGGGAGGACGATGATGCGGCCGGATGGGTGGGTATCCTTGCGCGAGGCGTAGGCGGAGCCGACAGTCGTGCGGGCAGGCATCCAGGATGTGCAGGCGTGGTGCATTTTGCGCGCAAACGCGTTACCGATAAGCGTGCTGGCACGTCCGAAGAGGCTGTCCTCGTCCTGGGGCTCGCCGGGAGGGCTGGTGGGATCTGGGTTGTTCATGTCGCCAACCATTGAGGCGAGCGTGATACCACCGTTCTTGAAACGCTTCTCGACTCCAGCGGCAGCAAGTGCAGCCTGATCGTAGGCAGAGATACCGTTGTCGTTGGCGTCAATCGCTTCGATAAAGTCCGTGTACAGCTTCTCGTACAGCAAGTCTACGTCGGCATGCTCCACTGGCAGGGAGAGTTTCTGGGCAAGGATCGCCTTTCCGAAGTGCATGTACACCAGGCCGGCGGAGGAGAGCTTGGTGGCGTGCTGCGGGAAGGTCGTTGAGAAGGTCCGCTGGTGGTGATCATACCGGTGGATGGCGGGGTCGTATACGCCGCCCACGTCGACAACGGTGTGGCATTTCTCCAACTCGGCGGGGTCACGCGTGCGAACTAGAGGGGAGGAGGCATATATAGGGAGCAGGCGGAGGAGGTAGACGGCCAGGGCCTCGTCGGCGTGGAAGTGGCCGCTGTTTTAGTCAGGATCCAAAGAGATTGAGCTAGATGCGTAGCAATTGTAGGAAGATTGCACTTACTTGTGTGTCCCGATCAAGGGGGGCGAGGTCTTGAGCTTTTTTGCTGCGTTTTCGGCCATTTTAAAGTAGTTATTGAATCTGAGCATTCAAAATGAAGGGGAATAGTCTCAAGGTCTTCGTATGTTAAATGCTGCGCTCTTATCTGCACTACCATATCAGGTTATTAGGGCCCTGGAATAGGGCTGAACACTGGCATGTGACCATGAGCTCTTGATGTGTGAGAAATCACCTACAACAACAAGATTCTCTTGGAGAGAACAACAACTAAGCGAGACAGAAAGCTTTGCATTTGATTGAACGAGTCAGAAAATATCCTTAAGATTCTTTGGGCCAACATAATCAGGTTTTAGATTACGTTGTCAAGAGCAGAGGCGGCACCGAGCTCATGTGACTATTTTTGTGTCCAACAAAGATCAATGGACTGAAACTGGAACACCTTTGACAAAGCAACCCTTGAGGAAACGGTGATGTGCCACCTGGCTACCAAAAGCTTTGGTAGACATGGAAGGTCGAAGGAAACAGCGGTTTTCCATAAGCCTACAACTGTCCTGCTCTACAACACTCAAATCAATTCTAGAAAAGGAAATCTTAGATCTAATAAACCCCCACCCCAGCGCCTGGCAAGAAGTACAAGAGAAGAAAGAACTAGGTATCCTATGTACAAGCAATGGCTTCATATCAAACCATTTGGACTGTGTGTGCGTGCGGGTGTGTGTAGACGGAGCAAGAGTCGGCTGAGGGAAGCGAAAAAGAACCAGAAAGCTGTGGATAGGAACATTGAGCGTAGACAGCAGAGGGTATAAGTGCCGAACTGGATGAACAGTGAAGATTCAGGGTGGATATGGAAGACAAAGAGGGAAAATAGGAGAAAAAGAAACAGGTTTTATCTGGTATCGTCGAATCGTGAAAAGGAGTGCAAGATATTGAACAGAGTGATGTTTGCCTTGAGACATCAGACAACCAAATACACCCATCTAGCAACCGAGAAGAGCATGCTTGGTGAGGAAGCAAGGAAGGACAGAGGCGGAGGCACGTGAAGCAAAGTCCAATCAAAAGGGAGTCCAGTGATGCATGGCGTCAGGGAGATGGAAACAACTCCGACGGACTCGCTCTACCATAACTGTAGCAAAGGTGGAAGGTCATTGGCGAAATTCCCAGACCAATCGTCGCCGAGTGGCGTTCTCAGATAAGCCAGTTGGTAGGCCTGTGACTGGTTTCATGCAGCAACGGCCTACAGCGAAGGAAGCAAGAAGGCCGATTCGATGGGACTTCGGATTCCTGCGACGCTGTTGCTGCAGCACTTATAAGAAGGAAAGCGTAGGCATTTTGGATTTAGCAGTCATTGATTCTGTCAAGTCGTCATTCAGTCGGTTTTCCAGTGGCCTGCCACTCCATTGTCGAGGTCGTTGGTTTCCCCAAGCCATAGCTCGACCGCATATAGGGATATAGTGCAAGCAAGATTAATCCATCGCCATGGGTTGCCACCACCATTGCCATGGCTGCTCCACCATTCACCGCTGCCACCCATGGCTTGTGATGTTGATGCGAAGTGCTGCATGAGAAGACTGGTGTAAACGGCAATGAGAATGCTCGGGGCGAAGTAGCTCAGGAATCCCAACACTTGGCCGGCTGCGTCGGTATCGTCAATGGAAGCCTCCTGGGAAAGGGCACGGGCGCCAGACTCGCGGACAGCTGGGATAATGCGCGTTGATGCATACAACACGAGCAGGCGATAGGCGAGCGAGATGAGGACGGAGGGTGTGACGGCGCTGAAAACGGTGGTGATAACGTTGAAGGCTGCATGAATAATGGACGGCAAAAGTGACACCGCGTGCATCAGGGTTGTGTAAGATGCCATAATAATGGGAGGCAGCGGAGGAAAGTCTCCAACCTGTGAGGGCGAGGGTATTTGTTCCACGGGGTGCGATGGCTGATAGTCCGTGAAGATCTGGTAGATGCAGAGCACGATGTAGGCGAAGAGAAGAGAGCTTTCGACTGGATTACCGCGACCACTGCCAATGCCCCAGGCACATAGAATGACGGCGCATGTGACAGAGACTCCGATCAAGGCGGCATCGACGTTGGAGATTTCAGGAAATTGCAGAACACGCCAGAGGAAGTACACTGAGCTGGAGATAATGGTAGCCGACAAAACCAAGAGGCCGATCTAGGACAAGGGTTAGTTTTGATCGCGATCTCCATGAGAGATTAAGAAAACATACCATCCAGCTATCACTGCGCCCACCTCGATTGACGAGCCAGCGGGTAATTTGGCCAGCGGCCTGGATCACAAGTAAACTGCAGAAGCCCTCTGTCAGTTGGAAGACCGGGGTAGACCATCTCAAAAGTCTATCCCAGTTGCCGAGGGTCACAGTTTCCACCAGGCCGTCGCGCCCAAAAAGCCATTCCTGAATGGAGGAATCCTGCGCCCTCTTGCCACTGAAAGTGCGCTCCATCCACCCCGTACCTGTGCTGTCGGCATCAACCGAGAATCGATTCAGCGACCAAATCAGAAGGACCAAGATGACGACCCATTGTGTAAAGTGGAGAACGACGATGATGGAGGAACGGAACCACGATCGATCAGGGGTGGTGACCTTCAACAGCGAGACCAGGAAATAAAAGGCCGCCAATGACAGTGAAAAGGCCAGGCCACATGTCTTGCCGCCCACATCGAAAGCTAGTGGGATAGACGAGACGATGATGGCGAGGAACAAGGCCGACGAAAAGACTCGAAAGAGCCACATCGGACTGCCGTGAGAAGTACGCGGTACGGGAGGGAATCCAGTAGATAGGGAAAGGATCTGAGGCAACTGTCGTGTTCAGAGCTGATTCGGAGCTGGGGTTGAGAGAGCAAGTAGGTCAAGGAGGGGGAGATACACACTGTTTTCTTTTTCTTTTTTCTTTTTTTTTTTTTTCCTTTTGAGCTTATCACTTTTTCAAAACACTTCACGTGGGTCAAAGATCTAGAGAGAGAGATAGAAACCCCTTTCAAAAACAAAACAAAACAACTAAAAAAACAAAGATAAATCAGGCAGATCAGGTAGATCAGGTTGACCAGGTAAGTCAAATCGATCAAATAGAGAATAACAAAATGGATAGGAATTTCTTATCAAAAAAGATGTGGAAGTCTCTTTTTAATAAGAGCACAGCTAAAATTGGCGGTCGGAGCACCATTTTCTACCTAGGCTGTCCTAAACTGATTTAGGGCCTGGTAACCTTTGACACATTACTCCGTAGAAAAGAGGCTAAATAGCTACAACATAAAGAGACTATTACAATACATTTTTAGAGTCTAGTTCACTATGACTTGTGATTGTGTTCCTTTTAAGTGTTCATTAATATGTCCTTTAGATATGCTTCATATAGGTTCGTTGGTAGTTGAGATGTTGAATGTTGTTGTTGTTCAACGAAGAATGTGCACGGAGATACACTCAATTTATAGATGTAGCATGTTACAATAACCGCGCTGATATAGTCTCTACCCCTTAACAATATGACCGAATCAGCTCTGACTAGAAAAAATTTACAAGTTCACTCGTACGATTGCGGTCACGCCTACATAGTATTGGGGACATAGTCATCTGAAGGACGGACAACCCACTACCGGGGAGGAGAAATGGAGAGAGCAACCAACGACTTTGATGGAGTCAAGAGGCGATTGAAATGGTAAACCGACTTCTTCATGTGTGCAGATAACATGGATGGCCGAATAGGAATACAAACACAACGTAGACCAACTATCGTTCGCGAGAATAGAAACCGTAAGGGACACTAAAGGATCATAAACAAGGCCTTGTCGTATGAATTAGGTACGAGCCAGGAGAACAGAGGTCAAGAAACGAAGGAAAAACCGAATGCCACAGATTGCTGATAACTCGATGGTAAATGGTGGTAACTGGAGAAAAATAAAAAAAAAAGCCAAGACACTGAAGAGCGACGTAGTGCTCGATTGACTGGGCAGCGAATGTCCTCAAGAACAAAACATCTGCCATTTCAATGACACACAGTCCAAACACCAACCTCTGCTCCTACTCTGTCCCGCAGTGCATCTCCCTACTCTGCCCCTCCATTCACCAAAGTCGATTGAAGAAAAAAAAAGAAAGAAAGAAACAAGAAGAAATTCCCATAGCGCCAGGCTTTTGAAAGTGAAATCACAGACCCCCTTCAAAAGATATGCATGCAACAATCGCCCTCCTCAGAACAGCCACAGCCACCCAGTGTAGTGCAAGACTGTATCATGGCCTACCGACGGATAGGAACACCCTCTCTCGCAGCGGGGGGACTGACACTAAGCTCCTTCTCACCAGAGGCCAGACCAGAGCTTGCCTCACCCTCACTGATACTGGTACCGCGGTGTAGGTAGCTACCTCCCTCCTTGATCGGGCTGCGGCTTTGAAACCCGATCGAACCAGGGTGCCCGCTGATGCTGCCGGGAACTTGCTGCCCACCTTGAGAGCTGATACTGCCATTGTTGGCAGAGTTGTTAGCACCTGGCGAGGTTGAGGTTAGGTGCGGGATGTTCTCCGGCACTGGGTGGCGTGAGCCGATGTTGGTGACGCCCAAGTCGGAGGCTTTGCCGGCTTTGCTGAGGGCGTAGTCACCCGAATCGAAGTATTTGCGTTCCTGTGGGAGACATGATGTTAGGGTGATGTGTAAGTGGGGGCTGGCTTGGTGTTAGGCTTGCCTTGAGCTTGTTCTGGAGGACGTCCTTCTTGGTGGGCATCTTGCCGTAGAGGCGCAGCAGACGTTGCTCCTCTGGGCTCAGGGACTAGGGAATTGTCAGTAATGGTAAGATAGGATAGTAGAAATACTTGCGTTGATGTCCACTTTATTCTGCTGGTGAGGATTCATGATGGATGGTTGAAGAAAGTTGATGTTGGAGGGGGAATTGACGCGGGAAAGATAAGGTGGGGAGAAGTTGAAGTGTGACCGGGAGGGTGAGAGGGGAGTTGGGATAGCAACTAATAGGAGAATAGAGGAATCGAGAGATAAAGAAATAGAGAAACAGATACAGGAAATAATAAATAATAGATAGAGGAACCGTAACCGTCTTTAAATAAATTCGAATCGAAGATGGCCACTATTGGCTGTGTACGAGGGAGATGACGTTCGGGGGATTCTAGGGATTCTAGGGATTCTACGTGGAGAACTGAGTGATCTGGTGTTTTAACAGATATATTTAGTCTGGTTGTATATTATTCTATATTATTCTATGATGCAAATCTACTCTCATTTTGGTCGATTCTTCTTAAAGTGTATATAGTATCTAATTACCGGACATATACACACCCCCCCCCCATGGAAAATCGCATATATCTCCCCCATAATATTTTTAAACAACCTTCTACAGCCATCCCAAGGCTCACCTCGTTATAATATAATTGGTACAACTGATCAATGATAACTTTGTCACCTGCCCACAGTGGAACCGAAACTTGAACTTCTTCGTTTCTTCAATTTTCCCGCTTCTGTGACGTCTCTTACACCCACCATGACTCGACCAACCTTCGTAGTCGAACATTTGGATCCCAAGTTGGGCCCATGGTCCACACTCGAATATGCCTGCATTGCGCGTGAATCCCACGACCGCGGGGCAAGATTTCTGCTCAGCTCTGTGCCCGCCGAGCTGCAGATGCCCGCCGAGCTGGCCGCCACCGAGGGCCTCGAGGTCGAGCTGCGTAGTGTCGAGGAGATCTTCGCCGACCGCAAGGATAAGGTCTGCTTGTTGGACCCTTCCGCTAAGACCGAGTTGAGTCCCGAGGATGGTGACAACTTTGAGGTCTTCTTGTTCGGTGGCATCCTCGGTACGGAATTTTTTTTTTACCCCGCAACATGTACGGATTGAGTTCGAGCTGACCCTTTTATTGTTCACTGCGTATGCAGGCGACGACCCGCCTAGAGGTATGTACTTGTTTTTCTCTATGCCCTTCAGCGAAAGACTGACGAGTTTGTAGACCGCACCTCGGAATTGAGGAAAAAGGGATATGTCGGCCGCCGATTGGGGCCCAAGCAGATGACTACCGACACTGCTGTGCGAGTTACTCGCTTGGTTGTCCACGAAAAGAGTGAGCGTGAAAGGGTTTAGATGATACATGTGCTGTACGCTGATTCTACCCAGTTCCCCTCGAGGAGATTCAATATGTCGACTACCCAGAATTGCTCATCAATGAGCACGAGCGCACCGAGATGCCTTTCCGCTATGTCAAGAATGCCAATGGGCAGCCTATCATGCCCGATGTAAGACTCTTACAATCTAAATTGCCAGAAAGAAAACAAGAAGCTAACAGTCTAGGGGATGGTGGATCTTATTAAGAAGGATGCCGACAAGTCTATTGATTTCTTCTAAGTGATTGCAACAGTTCACTAGCTGAAGATCTCTAACATGAACCGATTATAAGGTCGGCAAGGTGGCTGAAGAAGGGCCTGGGGGTGTTTCGGTGATTTTGCTTTGGTAGGATTGGGGAAGTTCACCTTTTGATTCATCGCCAGGTGGATATCGAAATCATTGGGGTTCTCAATCAGAATATATTTGAATCAGTCTGCATAGTGCTTGTGTAGTAAAGCAATATACAAAAGAAGACACTTAAATACACCTGAATACAAATAAATACATGAAATACCTCTGTCAAGCCAGTAAGTGGCGGTGCATTTCATAAGGTCCACTTGTAAATTACCTGTAATCAAACTCAATACTCCACAGGCCTCCTTTGAACTCCGTCATCCTACTTGCATCTCCTTTCTTTGGGTCTTGCTGTGTCTTGTCACTTCAACTATCTCTCTCCTATTCTGAACATCCTTCCACTCGTGCCGTCCAAACTGCCCAATTTCTCTAACTCCGATGATCTGTTAATTTTCACCTACGAGTCCCTCCCGGGACATCTACTCGACTATTTACCTCAACCCTTATTTTGATGATACCCACACTAGGCTCCTGAAATGCTCTCAATACCATTCCTCCTTTCGTCCATAAAGGGAAGCCCCGCAGCGATGTTATTATCTGCAGTATTGCTGCTGAGTCCGCTGGTGTCGGCCAGTTCGGCTGCTGATTATTATGTGCACTCGTTACCCGGGGTGCCGGAAGGCCCTTTCTTAAAGATGCATGCTGGGTAAGTCCCGAGGATGTTGCATGTCTTCGAGTGCACGAGCCCTTTTTAACGCAACCACTCTAGACATATCGAGGTCGATCCCGACATCAATGGCAACCTGTTCTTCTGGCATTTCCAGAATCGTCATATCGCGAACCGACAACGCACTGTGATTTGGCTGAATGGTGGTCCAGGTTGTAGCTCCATGGATGGTGCATTGATGGAAATTGGGCCCTATAGACTCCAGGACGACCATACGTTGAAGTACAACGAGGGCAGGTGGGATGAGTTTGCCAACCTGCTCTTCGTCGATAATCCCATCGGCACCGGTTTTAGCTATGCGAACACCAATAGCTATCTTCATGAGCTGAATGAGATGGCCGCTCACTTCATCACCTTCTTGGAAAAGTTCTTTGAACTGTTTCCCGAGTATGCGAACGATGACGTATGTTTTCCCGGTCCTCTACTACATTGATTATGTCTCTGACTGCGTTGCAGCTATATCTCGCTGGTGAATCATACGCCGGCCAGCACATCCCATATATTGCAAAGGCCATTCAAGATCGTAACACGGGCGTTGCGGAGAATGGAGGCACACAGTGGCCTGTCAAGGGTTTGCTGATTGGTAACGGTTGGATCTCTCCTACAGACCAGTACCCTTCGTACCTCAAGTTCCTCGAGAGGGAAGGCCTCGCCAAACCAGGTACAGCTCTTCATGACAACTTAAACGCACTCAATGATGTCTGTCTCTCGAAGCTGGAGACCGCCGGCGCAAAGAACAAGCTGGATATAGGCGAGTGCGAGCTAATTTTACAACAATTCCTCGATCTCACCACCGAAAATCACCAGTGTTACAACATGTACGATGTCCGTCTCAAGGACGAGGCCAAATCATGTGGCATGAATTGGCCCCCCGACCTGAAAAACATTGAGCCATACCTCCAGCGACCGGACGTCGTCAAAGCCCTGAACATTAACCCTGCAAAGAAATCCGGCTGGACCGAATGCGCAGGTATGGTCCACCAGGCCTTCACCGCAAAGAACTCCATCCCCTCTGTCCACCTGCTCCCAGGCCTGATCGAATCGGGCATCAACGTTTTGCTCTTCAGCGGCGACAAAGACCTCATCTGCAACCACATCGGAACAGAGACTCTGATCCACAACATGAAATGGAAAGGTGGCACCGGCTTCGAAACCTCCCCCGGCGTCTGGGCCCCGCGGCATGACTGGACCTTCGAAAATGAACCCACTGGTATCTACCAATCCGCCCGCAACCTCACCTACGCGCTCTTCTACAACTCCAGCCACATGGTTCCATTTGACAACCCTCGCCAGAGCCGTGACATGCTCGACCGCTTCATGAAGGTCGATATCGCCAGCATCGGCGGCCAGCCTTCGGATTCACGTATCGACGGCGAGAAATTGCCTCAGACTGCTGTCGGCGGACAGTCTAACAGCACTGCTGCCGAACAGATTGAGAAGGAGAGGCTGAAGCAGACGGAGATGCACGCGTATGCCAAGTCCGGCGAGGTTGTCCTCGTGGTTGTTATTATCGGTGTTGTCGCCTGGAGCTTTTTCATCTGGCACAGTCGTCGTGATCACCGAGGCTACAAGGGCGTCTCGAATGATGATTTATCGGATAGTACAACCATTCTCAACAGATTCCAGAGCAAGCGTTCAGGTCCTGACGTCGAAGCTGGTGATTTCGATGAGTCCGAGCTTGACCAGCTTCATTCTCCTGGTGTTGAGCGAGGGGATTACGCTATGGGTGAAGCTAGTGATGGTGACCATGTCTCGCGTCCGGAAACTCGTGGAATCCGCCAGACTTCATAACAAGTGATTTTTGAAAGGGTTTCTAGGGGGGTTTTGAAGTTTTTGAAATCTTTTGGCATCTATATAAATTAGACGGTGTTATCTTGATCTCATTCCAAGAAAGATTCTCATTCTGATATCTCTTATAGTGTTGTAGTGTTCCCTGTCAGGTGGATGACGGATTACCGACGAAATTCAAGTCCCAACTCTCTACTCTACTCTCGACACTTGACTCTTTACTTCATGTTGCCAAATGCAAGTCAAACGTATGTACAAGGTCGTAAGCCCTGGTACAAGAATTTACGCAAACTTGCCCACTACAAATAACTCGAAATTCCAAATCAACTCCCTCATCTGAAGCCCCATGAGGCAACCCAGCAGGCCATCGTCTGGGATTAAACCCAGTCTACAGCTATCGACTTTAACCATTGCTCTCGCCATAATCCGGCTTGGTGGAGGGGTCTGAGGCTATTATAGTCTCTAGGTAGCTTGTGCCTATAGGCTTTTGTGTATTTCTGATCGTCGCAGTAGCTCTATCCTTTCTACTTGTCCAGGTGACATTGATTATATATTTTTCCTTTTGTCTAGCCTCCAAATACACCAAGCCGTTTGCCCATGAACCATTCAGATCCAACATATGTCAATCCCAAAGCATCACCTCGTCACAGTCCAAACCTTGACACTCCCATCATCAGCCGTTGAAACAAGTACCTCCTCCCCCCCAGACCCCCGATCCGCCCTCTTTGCCCAAGCAATATGATTAATCTCGTAAATCCCATGCGCTCCATCCTGAATGGCAACAAGCACCCAATCCGTCCGCAGCACACTACCAGGAGTGGCATTTGATGCATCGGAATCAGCCGGCTGATCCTGCTCCGATGTAACAAACCGCTCCTCATAAATTGCAATCCGTCCATCTGCACCAGTCGAAGCAACAAGCCCGGTCCGCTTACTCCATGCAACAGCATAAACCGGCAGTTCATGCGCATGCGGGAGCACAGCATCTTCCTCCCAAAACTCATCCGTCCCAGTAGGCCGGATGATGCTCGGGATACCCGTCGCCGCAGAAGACAGCGCTCCCATCTGCTGCGATTCCTTCGGCTGGCGCCGCCACACGCGCACTGTGCGGTCGTCCGAGCAGGAAAGGAGGCGCGGGCCGGAGAGGGCTCTCTGGGAACGCCACTGAGCTTGTAAAGGGCCCAGCTCAGACTCGGAAACGGATTCGAAAATTGGCCCGTTCCACTTCTCCTCTGTGTCTTCCCCCTCCCAATCCAAATACCAAACTGTCCCCCCATGCCCCTTGATACATGCCACCTGGCCCCAGTCATCCAGATCCTCCCGCCATAGCCGGATGGTATCGTCATAGCTCCCGCTAGCAAGACATTCCTCTGAAGGATGCCACGAAACACACTTCACATCGCCCCCGTGCTCCTGCATCACAGCAACAGTCTCGAAGTTGTTATCACCATCATCGAGATCCTCCCAGATCCAAATTGACTTGTCGCGTGAGCATGTTGCCAGCAGCATCCCCGAAGCAGACCATGATACCGACTTGACTTCGCTGTCGTGGCCGTCGAGCAGGACTGCAAACCGCCATTCTTCTTCGTCTTCTTCGCGGTCTGCGGTGTCGGCACCGTTGGGAGCTTCCGTCGAAGTATCGATTGGAGTCTGTTTATCGTCACTGCTCATCCCAAGCCCGACACCCTCTTCCTGACCGTAACTATCCCATCGCCGCCAGATGCCCACTGTTGCATCGAAACTGCCCGTCGCGAGGACGGACTCCCCGGCCATATGTGGCTTCCATGCTGCTGTACGGACGGAGCGCTTGTGGCCACCGGTGATAGTGGAAAGGAGAGTAAAATTTGTGAGGGAATAGACTCGGATGGTTTTATCTGAACTGCAGGTTGCGACTATGGGGAGAGTTGGGTGCGGAGCTGTGAGCCAGGTTCGTTCTTGGGAGGGGGGTAATAGGTCGGATAGGTGTACTATTGTGACCTTTGGAGACTATTTTTTGTGTTTCTCGTTGGAGAGTGGAAGTGTTGAGGGTAAGATGGAGGATAGGGAGGAAGATGGTGGTGAGGTTGGAAATTTGATGGTGTA